GACTTAGCCCTTTGCTTCCCCATCCTGGCTTCTGGCTCTAGGGCCCAGCAGAGCCTACTGCTTGCCAGCTTCGTGTCTGTCTGTGAGGGCCTATGGGGGACCGTCATGCTGTGAGTTCTTCTCTGTCTGGGTGTGGTTGTGTGGTGGATCTGAGGCATTTCTGGGAGCCTGCATCTACAGTCCCTGCCTTGGGTCCTGGGCCTACCCGAAGAGTGTCTGAATCTGCCCCTGGGTTTGAGCCCGTGTGTGTGGTGGGGCTAGCTGGCCTCTCCCTCCTCCCGAGATTCTGCAGGTACACCTGAGGTCCTCTGTATACCCCCACTTCAAGCCTCCTCCAGGAAGCCTCCTGTGGCTGTGAAGATGTGGTTTGTACAACACACCTTGCTACAATTCTCCTTAGTAAATATTTATGAAGAAGTCTTGCCTTCCTTGTCAGAATGGGGGCCCCTTAAGGCTATGTCCCCCTTCCAACTGAGAGTCCCTGAGAGAAGGGGCATGTCCATCCCTTCAAACTAAAGCCTTCTATGTCTCTTTCAGACTCAGACTCACCTGGCACTCAGCCTGGGGCTGCTCAGCACTACACACCTGTGTGCGTGCATGCATGTGTGTGTGTCTGTATGTGTTTTGGGAGTAGGGTAGCCAAGCCTGCCAGCCTCTCTGTCTTTGCCTGTTGTCCAACTCCATGCCTGATCCCACCCAGTTACAGAGGCTGCGGAGGGTGAACTGGGCAGTGGGGGCTCCCTGGCTTGGGGGAGGCAAGGGCTGGGGCCCAGAGCCCTGCCTTCCTGCTGGGGTAGGCCTTGGGGTAGGGGTGGGAGTGGGTCCCACCTCTCCTCCCCTTCTTCCCAGGTCCTGTGTGGGGGAGGGGGCAGCCCCCGCCAGGGCCATGACCAGCTCTCCCTGCAATAAGTGAGGAGACAGCAGCTATTAATATAAGATGAATTCACGGGCTCACAGCTTCTGCAGGCTGGAAAACAGGCTCCCGGGGCTGGGGGCTGCGGCAAGTCTCGTCTGTCAGATTCTCTCCTGGAGCCTGGAGCCTAGAGCCCACCAGCCCCACATCCCCCAGATCCCTACATGCTGAGACCTGTGCGCACACAGCTACGTGAATAAGGGCATGTGCACAGGGGCACACATGTCACTGGATGTTCAGAGAACATACACACATGCACACACATCCAGACACGCACATATACCCAGATGTGTCTGCACACTGGTACACTCACCTGGCTGCACAGATAAATCATAGCACACATGTGTGCAGGCTATGTCAACTTAATGTGCACATGTTTGCACACAGAAGCACATACTTAAATGTATGCACATGCCCTTGCACACACATATGTATACAAACTTACCCTTGTATATACATGTGTGCACACAGGTCCAGACATGCTTGCATACCCAGACCCATCTGTACACCACTGCACACCATGTATCTACAGACACAAAACGGCACATGTGCATACACATGGTATCCATAATCATGTACACACATCTGCATACAGAACCACAGTCAAGGACTTGAACGTCCTTCTGCGCAGTGTACACAGTCACACAGGCTCCTCACTGTCAGTGCTCAGCAATCATGAATTCACAGACAGACCCTTGGTTTCCAGCACCATCCAGTGGGCTCAGGCTCCCCTCCCCCAGCCTCATGACAGGCAGCTCATGCTCCTGCCAACCCCAATGCCTGCCTTCGGCTTCCCACCCCCCGGGGGTCCCCAGATCCCTGATTAACCCCTCGCTAATTGGCCACCAGCCCCTTGACTTTGCTGCAGGCCTTCTCGGGAGCTGGGAGCGAGAGGCTGCAAATTGGCCAAGCAGGATGGGTCTGGGGAATAGAGTGCAAGGCAGGGTGGGGGTGCTACGAGCCCAGTGCCTGACTGGAGTCAGGAAGGGCACCCCTATACCAGGGCTGGGGGAGGGCACTCCTAGGATTCGTGTGTACCCAGTCACTTGAAGCCTTCCATGCACGCAATTTTCCACACACTCAACAGTTGTGTGTGTGGACATGTTCCACCCCACTTCTTCACACTAATGCATGTGGACATTTGCACACACTCAAGTACTGAATAAACCCAGTATGCACACAAGCAAAATCTCACACATTCAAATTCACCTACCTTATATGCAGAAACCATTTACATATGTACATTCAAACACAATTCACCTAAACACACAAATGTAGTCACAAGTATACAGGCTTGCAAACACAAATTTACATGTCTATAAATGTATACCTAAGTAAACTTATAGGCATGCATGCACATACCACTCACGTGTGTGTACCTACCTTGATGAACAAGATACCAAGTGGCCACAGAATAAGGAGAACCCCTCAATGGAGGGCCAGCCACTGGCTTTGCAGAGGAATAGGAAACTTGAGGTTCCTACAGTCTACAGGTGCGAGTGGGCAGTGGTGGAACTCACCCAGGTTCCAAGTTGCCTTTTCCCAGCCTCCATGCTAATGCCCAAGCCTGGGACGATCTTCCTGGATTCTCCTCAGCCTTCAGGGCTCCTGGACAGAAGGGCAGAGGTTGTGGCTTTCACTTCTGTAGTTCCTGTTTCCTTGGCTCTGGGTCAGAGTGCACAGGGTGTTCTACTCTCTTGCAGGTGGCCTGGGGTATTGGAAAGAAGAGGGTTTCTATTTCCATGCTTGCTGCCAACTTGCTGTGTGACTCTGGGGAAGTTGTTGTGCCTCTCTGTGCTTGTGTTTCCTCAACTATAAAATAGGAATAAAAAGCTGTGTGTTGGTAATCCTCCGAGGACTGACCTGAGGAGTCCATGGGGGCATGTTTATGGATGTGCTTTACTCAGGCACACATGTCTGGGAGAGTTTAGCTCCCAAGATAGTGAATGAATATGCCAGAGTGGAGGGGCAGCATACATCATTCTGATCAAGTCCTCATTGAATAGGTGAGGAAGCTGAGGCCCACAGGGGAAAGAGCAAGGTAGGAACTAGAAGACCTGACTGCTGACTTAGCCAGGAAGTCTGCTTTAAATATGCAATCAGAGCATGAGCAGGTGTGTGCATATTCCCAAGATAAGGGAGGGGGGTGGCTGCCTGCTGTGGTGGGAGGGAGTCTATGCAGATTCCTGCCACCATGATATTGACAATTTTATCACGAGAGATTCTTTTGGGTGTGGAAGGCCTTTTTTTGTCCTCCAGTTTATCCCCCACTAGCCCCATCATCTCCTGAGGCTAAGGCTGGCCTTGGGGAGCACCTGAAAATGCTCCTAGCCTCCTGTTCTAGGAGAGAACTAGCTGACAACTACCCCAGAGCAGAACTTACAGGAGATGGTGCCAGGTTGCCCTGGTCACTGGGCAGCCAGGAGAGGGCAGTGAGGAACTGGCAGAGGCAGCACAAAGGGAAGGGTGGGTCCTGAGGACTTTGTGTGAGATTTGCTTGCGCTTATGTGTGTTCCTGTAACTGTGTGCTGATCTGTGCCCTTGTTTGCACAAGGACAGGGCTCTGTGTGCATGTGTCCCTGGGCATGGTTCTCAAGTGTGTCTATTCACATGTGCAGGTGTCTCTGAGTGTGCACAAATGTGTGCACCTGAACAGGTGTGTGTGCACATATTGAGGGTGTCTGTTGGAAGCCCCAGCCCATACCTAGGGAATCCACTTTGTTCCAAGTAGTTGAGGGCACATGGTACTTCTAATTCTAAAGGATAGCTGGGCCCTCAGTCTAGCACTTGACTTCAAAGTAACAGCAAAAATAACCATCACCTATCAAACTGGGCACCGGGGGGTGAGGTAGACCATAACAGAAAACCTTTAGCATGCATCCTAAGGCACTAAAGACTATGATTCCAGAAGAAAATATTCTGAAAACTGTTTAAGCTGCACAGTGGACAGAGCATGGGAGACCCATGTGCAAACTGTGGCTCTTCTCTGGCCAGTTATGTGATCTTAGGCAACTCACTTAACCTCTCTGGATCTGTTTTTCTTAAGTGTAAAATGGGAGACCCTTGGCTCATAAGGTTGAAATAAGCTTAAGTGCAGGGTCACAGCTCCCAAGTGGAGGAGCTGGAATTTAAGCCCAGGCTTCTGGCTTCCCAGAACCACATTCCTTCCCTCCAATTCTCCAGCAAGGGCGGCTCCCGACACCACCATTTTGTCTTCTCTCAGGGCGGGCGTCTGGCTGCCTGTCAGTCACCGGCCTCGGGAAGCCAAGTGCTGACTAAACACAGGCCTGAGCAGGAGGGTGGAGCGAGGGGCTCCGCTGGGGCGAGCTGGCTCCCGCGCCCCCTCCCCTGCACCCCCACCTTCAGCGATGAGCTCAGAGTGGCTGGCGCAGCAGTTGCTGACAATTCAAAACTTCTGCCCCCTCTCCTGGGATGCCAGTGGGTGACTGAACAGTAGGCGTGACCAGCCAAGTCACCAACCCTGTTCCTGCCCCTCTCCTGGGGCCACTCCACGGTGTCTGTTGGCCCAGGAATTGGGTGTCTGCTCATAAATTACCCCCAGGGACAGTTACCCGCAGCAGCTGTGCTCAGAACAACCGTTGCTTCCTGGGTAGGTCATTTTTTGGGGTCAGAATATAAACCCAGCCCCCTCGACTTCCCAGGCAGGAGAGGGGGCGTGGAGCAGCCTAAACCTTTTATCGGATTCCATTGTAAATCGTTCTATTTAAGGTAAGTTGCTTGGGTCTGAGAGGCAGACAAGATGCTGGCCAGATGTTGGGAGGCAGCATCAGCATTCAGCTTGTGCTCCTCTCCTGCCGGATGCAAGGAGTTGCTGGCAGCCCCTGCCAGCTGAGGGCCTCTAGGTCCCCCAGTTAAGGTTCCTCCTAAACCAGAAGGGTTTTGGCCTTTATCCCCCACCTCCTGCACGGGGTGCACAATCCAGACCCAGAGGCCTCCTGCCCTCCGAGCCCACCCACACCACCCTCCCTCCGGAACTCTGGCCACCACCTGTGGCAAACAGTGTTGCCCCCTTCTAACTATTTCTCCCATTAAACACATACAGACACACAGACACACACACCAGAGGTGGCTGAGTGGCTACAAAGACTTTATCAAATTATTTAAAATGCTGGCATTTATGTATTCGCATGTATAGATAAAACAATTACATGGAATCTTCAGGTCACTGGGGTGCTAATGTAGTACACACATGAGCCTGGCAAGGACTCAAATGAGACCGGGCTTGGAGGCACAGGGCTTTAAAAAACTGGACATCCTTCCAAGGACCTGAGAGGAGTAGGGTGAAGAGGAAAGAATCACTTTAGGTGTTTGGCTTAACACCATTACTCAGATCTCCACCTTAAGCTCCTTTCCCATCTTCAGGGGAAGGGGACCCATCTTCAGACTGTAGCCCCACTACATATATGCCCAGTCCCTAAAATCTTGATGTAGCAGACACACCCAAGAATCCACTGGATCAGGTCCTTATAAATATATTTATAACAGAGAAAACAAGGCACTTCGGGAGCTCTCCTACACATACATCATTCTAGACAGAAAGTAAAAATTGGTTAGTTTCTCAAGTGAACTGAGTAAAGTTAATACAGTAACAAAATTGTTCCCTAGCCCTTCCTGAGGCACAGGATGAGGCGCATCTCTGGGCGACACCTGGTCCCAGGTTAGCTGGAGCCCAGTAGACCTGAAAGCCTGATGCCCCTAGAAAGCCTGACATCTCTCCTGAGCAAAAGCCCCTGGCCTTGGGGCACTGCCTACCCTCCTCCCAGGCCCTGAGGTCAGGTGAGGGGGGCTGCAGTGGGAGGCAGGCTGAGCGCAGAGCTGGGACACGGTGGGAATGCTTAAGCAGGGTCACCAAAGCCACAGAGACCTCAATCTGTCCAAGCTGGCGCTGCAGAGCCGGAGGATCGGCGCCACGGGAAGAGATTTCACATTAGCCCTGACAACACCGCCTCAGCTCTGCGGTGACATTGGCCAGGGTCGTTTTTGAGGGCACTTGAGCTTCCACTGGAGGAGAGCTAGAGCTTGGGCCAGCTGCTCTGAGCCTCCAAGGGATCGCTGAGCCTGCCCCCTCCCCATGGTTGCTTCTTTGGAATGTGCTCATCTCACAACCAAGGCAAAGCCACAAGTCACTTCTGACCTTGCCGACTGGAAGCTGGGGCCCTGGGCCACAGGAATGGGGGCAGGACCCTGCGCTGGGCAGACCAGGGAAGGGAGGTGGCTCCCAGGCTTCAGCCCTTAGAGTCCTTTATGGGCCATTGCTCCATATTCTTACCAGCCTCAGCCCACTTTAAATAATCACTAAACTTTGCATTCTATAACTACAGGATTCCAAAGACACACAATTACCTGCACAAGGTCCTTTATCATCTTAAAGGAAGCTCTGGGTTTAAGGAAATTTTTGTGTGTGTGTGCACATATGCATAAGTAGAGCCCAGAGGGCCTCTCGGCTGACTGGGTCCCCAGCACCCCCCCAGCTGAGGAGGCTTCGCAAGGCCGGCTGCTACAAAGCGCCGAGCTTGGCTGCATAGATTTTAATGAGAGCATCGGGTAGAGCTGTGCTGTTGCTCTCCGGGACTTGCAGATCATTACCAAACCAGCTGTAGGATGAGAACACAGCACATAGAAACCCTAGGAGGTCACTGAGCTAATGATCTAATCCTACCTTCCGCAGGCAGTGCCCCTCCCCACCTCCTCCTGCCCCCAGCCCTTTCCACAGCAGACTCTGTCCATTCCAGAAGCCAAGCCAACACCGCCCCCTTCAAGGTCAGAGCAGAATGATAGTGAGTGGTGCTGGCTCCCCCTTTTCCAGGAAGGAGGGGGATGGGGTAATTTAGTCAAAGCCATTAGGCCCAAACCCTGCCCTGGCCTGGCCAGGCCCCAGGACACCTATTTGGAAGAACCACTGTTCTCCGTCTGCCACTTCAGCCACTGCTGGGCTGCAGCCGGGGGCACCTTCAACAGCCATTTTAGGTTCTGAAGAAAGCCCCTTCAGCTCCCAGATCGCAAGGTGGGAAGCAAGGCAGGGGTGCACACCATCTGATACGCTCCTCACTGAGCCGGTGCCAGCCCTGTGCCAGAGACATCTGATCTGGGGAGAGCAGCCCCTGCAGGAGGGCATGCTGGCCTCTAAAGGCTCAGTCCCCACACCTGGAGTTCAAGGAAAGAAGAGGGGGAACATTCAGCCAGGGCACAGCGGCAGCACCCGTGCTTACACACTCCTCAAGCCGGAAGGGTTTATGAGGGCTTTGACAATTACTGTAACCATTTGCTGTGCTGGGTAGAGGCAGATCCTGTTTCTCTTTGTTTCAGGGCTCTGAAAGCCAGAGAAGCCAGGAGAAGCCGGTTTCAGCATAAGAGGCTACACAATAGTTAGGGCAGAAGAGAAGAAACCTCACTGTTGGCCAAAGCTGACCAGTTTTTTCCTGAATAATAGCACCTGTGTATTAGCTCTGGGAGAAAGGGGGAGCAAGGAGGGAACATCACCGTGTGCAGTGAGGAGAGGAGCTGGAAACAAGACCCAGAGTCCCTCTGCCTTTCAGCTCTTCTCATGGCTGCCAGGCCCCTCCAGGCAGCTACCTGAGGCAGCTGCCAGCCTGAGGGACTGAAGTTTCTACAGTTGGCAGAACCTACGCTTAAATTGGGGAAATAAAAGGGGGAGGAGTTGTAGAGGAATTGAAAGCAGCACCTGTCACGCTGCCTACCCTCTTCCTTCTCTCACTACCTCTGGTCCCCCAGAAGGGCAGCTCTCAAGGCCAGGTGGTTGGCTGGTGATAGGAAAGGGGGAGCAAAGAATTACAATAGAGGCTATAAGGGTCTGAGCAGCACTGACAGGCCTGGCACAGGCCCTGAGCCCTTCTACTGGGACCCCCCACCTGTGGTGAGGTCTAGAGTTACACAATGCCAAGACTGCTCTGCCCAGACTCCAGGGGTGCCCACTATTTGGTCCCAGAAAGCACAGGTGATTTGGAATCAGGAACTCTGGGCTCTAGCTCTGTCACCATCCAACTGTGTGACCTTGAGCAAGTCACCTTCCATCTCTAGGCTGCAGCATCATTAAGAGGGCAGGACCCAAGGAGTTCTACCATTTTTCCAGTCCTGTAGTTCCAAGTCTCTAACCTTGGCTCCTGACAGCCAGCAGAGGCCCAGATCCCTGCGTGTCAGAGCTAGTTTGGTCATGGGTATTAGAGGTGAGAACTGGGCTATGGTGCTTGGAGGCACCTGGTGGTGGGGGAGAGGCATTTTAGGGCCACCTGAACACCACATTCATGAGAGGGAGCCTGGGAGGGAGGCAACCAGCCCTGCTTTCAGAAAGGCGTCGTTTCTGAGCAGTAGGGGGAGTGTGTGACACATTTCTTTAGGGGCTTGATGGCCCCGGGAATAAAGGGCATCCAGATACAGAGGTGGCTTAAGCAAAAAAGTAGCCTCACCCTGCTGATCAGGGCAGAAGGGTGAGGCACGCGGGTGTGTGGCCTGCTCTGCCCTCTTAGTGCATGGGAAAAGGGGCCAGCTGTGTCCCTCCAGGCTTTAGAACCTGAACATGGGGGGCATTATTCGAAGTAGCTGAGGGCAAGGATTCTGGAAGACAACGACAGAAAATGGCTCTTAGGAGAAGGCACCAACTCCAATTTAAACCCAATCAAAGGGATCTGCTTTGGGGTTTTTCCTTCTCTTCAATATGCAACAGTCACTTGAAGGGAACAGGAAACATCTCAGCTACTGAATCTCAGGAGCCGCATGGGGCCTGACTACGGGGAGATGGGAAATACATGTTGATTTGGAGGAAGCACTTGGATACATCTTTGGTTGCTTTAGGGAAGGCTTTGGCCCCTGGAAATTTTTTTTCTCCCTTTTCTTCCCCTTGGGACTGTTGGGATAGGCAGCAAAGAAGGCAGGTAGGCAGGAAAGAAAAAGGAAGTGGGCAGCAGGCAGAAGAGTTAATCCGACCATTCGTCCTCATCAAACTCAGAGGAGTCATCTTCTGAGTCGCTGTACTCCACAGCAATGCGACGCGACAAGATGGTGGCCACGTCATTGCCCACAACATCTCGCTTTTCTTGTTCCCGCTGCTCCTCAACCCTGCGCAGCTGAAAGCCTGGTGGGAGAGAGAAGGGTTAAAAAGGCAAGTCAGTCTCAGAATCCACTCCAGACTGAAGGGAGTGGCCCTGGTGGCTGTGTGTTAGGTACTGGAAAGGACAACAAAAAAGAAGGATCCTCTGGGAAAGCCAAGAGGGAAAGGGGGAAACGGGACAAGAAGTAAAGATGAGGTTTTATGAAATCGTGGCCCCAGCACTATAGGTGTTTCTGAAAGGAAGCCTGCCATTCTTCCTGATTTCTGCGCTCTCAGGCTGATGAGGATGGTACTTCTCATGAGGATCTGAGTGGGCAGTATCTGCCCTGAGTGCAGCAGGCACTCAGTCTGCCCAATTCATCAATTTTCATGGAGCTCAGCTAGGTTGTCTCCTCTAGACAATCCTTCAGTCCCTTCAGGATCAAACAGAAGAAACCACTATAACCCCTTGGGACCAGACCCAAACTCTGACAGAAAAAGAATAAATGCTCCCAAGGGTAAACTGATGATGAGGGAGGGGAGAAAGGTAGAGAGAAAGGAAAGGAAGGGGATAGCAAGAAAGGGGAAGAAGAAGGGGGTGGGAAGCAGGGGTGGGGGGAGTAGGGAGGAAGGATATAAAAGGCAAAAGTGGCGGACAGGGGGGTTACAGTCCAGCTGAGGAAATACCTTCTAGGACAGTGATGCTTGTTTTCCCCCGGGGCACAAAATAGATGCAAACACACACAAAGCATACATTTTCAAGGTCAAAGATCCCACGTTAAGAATCCTTTACTTTAAACCAAGGTGGAAAGAAATATAAACCTCTGTGTTTTTAGAGTGAAGCCTTCCTTCAGACTGATCCAAGGTCTGAGGTCCCAATCTCTCCCCACCCAATGAAAGCTAGTCCCTTAGAAGGGCACAGAACCCCTTGCCCACCCTCCAGTCAGTCATCCCAGCTGTAGGAAGACAAGGCTTCATGATTTTACCTTGACGGATTGCTGAAAGCAAGTCGCTGCGGGCATCACTCACAGGCGGCAAGGAGGACTTGGGCTTGGTGGTGTCAGAAAGTGGCAGAGGTGCAGCAGGCTGGCCATCTGCACCACTGAAAGGGGGAGGTGGGGGCCCCGGAGGAGGTGGGGGAGGCGGAGGGGGAGGGGCTCCTCCTGCTGGATGGGACAAGGGAGGTGGTGGCAGTGTTGAATAGTCAGCTGCTGGTGGTGGGGGAGGAGGTGGAGGGGCAGCAAAATCGGGGTGAGGTGGGAAAGATGGGGGTGAAGGTGGTGGTGGGGTCCCTGGAGACCCAAATCCTCCAGGCAGTGGTGGGGGTGGACTGTTCATCATTGGAGGCGGAGGCGGAGGGGCAGGTGGTGGAGCAAACCCGGGTTTGGGGCCTGGTGGAGAGCCCAGAGGAGGAGCTGGTGGTGGATGGCTTGGGCTAACCACACTGGATCTTTTGGGTCCAACTAAGCCAGACCCTCTTTGGTTACTGTCTGCTGGGTAGCTGAAATGACAAAGAAAAAAGACCCACCATCACTCTCAGGATGGAAACATCCAGCTATAGTTAAGCCTCTCTATAAGCCTAGGTTCATTATGGTTGATAGTATCATTTCATTTTGACTCCAAAAGAAAGGAAAACCTGGAAATGGTCAGAACAGAACAATGATGTGGGCAGCCTTGTAAGGTAATGAGCTTCCCATCAGCACAGGAATATAAGCAGAAATTTAAAAAAACTGAAAGAGTGGACTTAGGATTCTTCTAACAGGTAAGGGCTGGCCAAGATCATCTCTTCAAACACCACCCACCCACCAGGATCTGTTCCACAGGCTATTAACATTCACCAGATCCTGTGAGAGCAGGAAATCCAAGCCAAGCTAACCAAACTTGAGCAGGGTACAGATTTAGGTGAATGCACCTTCAGTGCTCATGTGGAAAAACTGGAGAGGGAATGAGGGCCGGAGGGTCAGCAAAGACGGGAAATGAATGTGGCACCAGACTTGACCCGGGTTGAGAGAGGATTAAGACGCACTTTTCCTGGGTCAGGCATGCTCCACTGCAGCTGCAAGGTCTCAGGCTATGTGTGAGACTGAAAGGCTTCTTTTTCCACCTTTGTATCTGCCCTGCACTAATAGCTACTCCTTAGAAAAGCATCCATCTTGGAATTTTCCACAGACCTTCAAGCCTTAGTAGCATCCGACAGGGCAACCAGCAGGAAGTGATTTGGGAGGCAGGAGATTTGAGATTAGTGGTGTCAAGAGCCAAGAATGGGGTGAGGAGTAGGGGTGACAGCACTGCTTTAGGTCTCCATCTGAGGGGTCCTCAACATATCCAATCACTGATTAAACAGTGCCCAAGGAGAAAAGCATACCTTTCAAAACTCTCACTTGTCAGGCATCAGACAAGACAAAGAAAAGTAACTAAGAGGAAACACTGAAATCTGAACACTCCCCAGATCCCTTCCCCTTTCAGCTATTACTTGCTAACTCTTCTCCTACACACCTCCACTGTCAATTTATCACAATGACACTGGCAAATTATCACAATGGTCACATTCTAAGTTTCATCTCTTTTCCTTTTGTTTCATTCTTTCTGGAGATTCTACCCAACAGTGGAATGAACCAGAGGCAACAGGAGGAAAAGGTGACTATCTTCTAGATAACTGGGCAAGATGTCTGCTCAATATGGATAGCAGCAGATTATACCATCTCATTTCATGCAGTGTCAAAGCTAAGAAAAAAACAAGTGATAAGCTGGTGACTTCTGTCACGTTCAGGTATAGCTAGTAGTTAAGAACACAGGCTCTGGAGTCAGACTGGCCTGCTTTCCAACTATCACTCTGCCACTAACTGGCCATGTGATCTTAGATAAGATCACTGACCACTCTGTGCCTCACTGTTCACTCATCTGAAAAATGGGTACTATCTCAAGAGGACTCCTGAATAATTAAGTAACATACAGTGTCTGGCATAATGCCTGGCAACTTACAAACATTTCATAAATGTTAATTACTTTTATTATCTAGACAGACTTGCCTGAAGTTATTTTAGTGCTCCTGGCCTGGATTTGGAACTCCTACCTTGTTCTTGAGTGTTTAACCATCCAAAGTAGATGGAAGAGGTACCACCATTTACCTGAATTCTGCTGGTGGGGGAGGCAAGCTGTCCTCAGAGAAGGAAGGAGAAGGTGGAGAAGTGGAGTCTGACTGTGGTGGTGGTGGGTAGTTGCTTGCATCCACGTTTTCAATAGAGCCAATGCTGCCATTCTGGTAAACCAAAGTGGGTGGATACCTGAAAATGAACGCAAGGCCAAAACTGACACTTAAAGTCTGAGTGGTACTCTCTTATTTTTGCAAGAGACCCCACAAAACTACATTTGATATAAAAGCTATTAGGGGGAAATAAAATTGGTATATTTCCCATACAGTTTCTGTTGTACTGAAATTTTATTTTAGGACTAAACATACTATTGCTAAAATATCTCCCAGATATTTCTGCTCAATTGTCTGTAGAAATGGGATTCAACTCAGGTTATCAAAACCATGCTGTTGCTCTCCCAGTGTTGGCCTTGTTAAACCCAGCACTTCTTTTAAATTCTCTCCCAAATATTAGGAGCAGCCCAGACCCAAATCCCAAAGTCTGTCTTGTGGCAAAGGGCAAAGCCAAGCCCCAAGGCTAGTGAGCTACAAACACGTGACTGGCACACAGCCTGGTTTTGAGGTCAGCAAGCCTCTAGAGTGCTCAAAGGCCAAGGAGGCATCTGATTGCAAAATCAAGCTGAGGACAGATGCATGTTGCTGTGTGGTAGTTAGACATGGTCTCTGCCAGGTCTCTTTATCTAACAAAATGAGCTGCTGATTAAAGTGGGGTGCTAGGGCTTGCCTCGTGAAAACCTCCTGTCCTCACAGAACTGGGCCTTGGGTGAAACTGTTCTGGGTGGATGGCAAAAAACTTCCAAACAAGCACAAATACAGCCAAGCAGCAGCTAGCAAAACGGGGCCTGTTTTGCTCTACCTCTCCCTTCTTTCCACCATTGTTGGGTTCTAAGGAACTCAGTAAACAGACTCTAAGAAGAGAGTTGGAGGGAACTAACTTAATCAAATGATGCTCTGATGTTGAGAATCTCCAAGGCCTGTAGCCCTGTAGACTTGGCATATCTCTTTACAGCTTCACCAATAAGCATCTGCAGGTCGACAGCCATGCTGACCAATCCCAAACCTCTTGGACAACAGGAAAACGGGAGGCAAAGTCCTCCTTTTCACCACCACAATTACATAGACACACAGACACACACACATACATGTACACACACAAAATTGTTGGTTGGCATTCCGAATATGCAGGCTGCTGGCCTTAGAGTCACTGAACCATCATATGACAAGGGCCTGTCTGAACAGCATGGAACTGTGGAACAAAATGGCCCCTTTTTATCAGGAGGAAGCTAATGGAGGTACCCCCAGGGCTGATTCCCCCGGAGAAAGAAAGGTTTAGTTTTCCTCTCACCATCTTCATCACTCTTTAAGACAAATCTCTTAATTCAGGAAGAACAAGTGTCAGAAGTGTCAAGATTTCTAAAAGTCAAGATTTTCAAGGTAGAATTATTCCTAAAAGCAAGAACAACTCATCTCTTTCCTTTTATCATTCCTAGATACCAGGCATTGGCTGGCATGGTTCTCTGACAGCCAGGATGCAAGGTATTTAAGGGAAAGACCAGGGCGACATTCATGCCAAGCAGTTGTGGTGACTTGGCTTGGAATGTCACACGGGTCGGACACCAGGATAAGCATCAAACCAAGCTTTAAAACCATTTTTTCCCTTTTAAACCTCTAGTGTGATTTGGTATTGGGAAATGGGGTCAAAATGACATCTACTATTTCTCCACAGAGATATATAGCCTCAATATTGGCTGAGCAACCTTTCCCACACTGTCTCTTAGGTCTGCTTTCAGTCCCTTGGCCAACCTCTCTTCTGAGACTGACAAAGGCTGACTGAAAAGTTGCTTTGGTGATGCACACAAATTCTGCCTGGCCCTCCCCACTCCCGTGAACTACCCAGCTCTTAGCCATGACCTTCAAATCAATGCTCTGGAGGCAAAAGCCTCCCAAGATCACTTTCCTTTCCTTTCTAGTCTTTCCTTTGAGACCCTCAGACATACCAGTGTCTGGCAGAGTAAGGGCACTAGAAGGCATGGGCTTTCTTTTCCAGACCACTCTGGTCACCTCATTTAAACTGCCGAGTCTCTTGATTTTTTTTTTTTTTAGCAAATTTTAATCACCAGATGGAGGCACTTTAAACTAGCTGCTTAACAGTGGTATTGATTTAAGCCACACAGCCAGACTTCAGGGGGTAAGAAAGGTATCATGCTAGAGCTGTCAGACTGCTGTCCCCAGGTGCCCAGCCCCTTTAAAGAATGCTACCAAGACAACAAAAGCGACACCTACCCAGAAGGCCCCAGCTTCTCTTTGGATTCCACAAATTCTTGACCCATCTTCATTTTCTCCCACTCTTCCTTACGTGTCTTGATTTTACGCGGGTTTACATTCCCTCGATTTGGATTCTCTTTCTTTTCTTTCTATAATGAAAAGAAACAGAAAAGCTTTAAAACATTTCCTAAAGTTCTTCATTAAAATTCCATCCACCTTCATAGATGCACACCCAAGAGATGATCTGCCTAGACAACATACAAAAACTCCAGAATTTATAGAATTGCTGGGTTTAGAGTAACCTAGAGGTCATCCAATCCAAACTACCTCCTGGGCTCAAACACCTCTAGGGATGGAAACCCACTCTTTGAGTGTGTTTGAGTAACTGAAAGTTACTCTTTGGGTAACTCATTCATGTTTTTAAGCAGCTCTAATTGTTAGGAAGTTAGTAAACAGGTATTTGTTATTTGCTCTGCCACAAAAGGTCAGTCAAGAGAGAAGAGAAATAATAGCAGCTGTAGGTATCTGGGACAGAAATAAGGAAATAGTTAAAAAAAAAAAACCCGAAATAACCAATGAAGAATTCTTCAGCCTGTACATCTGCACTAGCCCCTGGCACTCTCTTGGGCCTCCCAGCAGCCATGCTAATGGGACTGTGGGGATGCAACTGGTAAGTCATATGCTTATACATATCACTGGGAGTCTAAGGGGAGCGGAGCGTCTCCCAAAACTAGGCCTACACCCCCATTCCTGCCCCGCCCAATCGGTAGTCAAGGTGTTTAAGTGCTCCTGTTGCAAATCAAACACTGTAGAGCCTTGTGCTGACCTCTGAGAAATGAGCTGCAGAACTGGTGGGGAAGGGACTAGCTTAGCTTGAGTGTCCAGCAGAGTCAGGTGCAAATTGCAAGAGAAATAAACGGTGACTAGAAAAGTCAATTTCTAAAACTCAGCCTGAATATACTCAATTGTTAATAGCACTGGGGGGAACAAACACATTTTTGGTATCATTTATACTTTCATCTTGGTTGTGCTTGGAGTGGACACATTTTTTTAAGAGTTTCACCTGGCATCCAAGCAAGCAGCCACTCGGAATGATTACTTCACATAAGACTGGCTTCCTTTTTATCCCCCTCCACAATCGTGCCTACTGATGTGTAGAACAGAGGCCCCTTTCCCCTCACCCTATGCTTTCTCTTCTCTTTCATGATATCCTTGGTGTCCTGCAGCATCTTCTCCTTCCAAAGATCAAAGAAGTACGAAGGGTCTGTGTAGAATTTGAGTGCCTCTTTCCCATCGTCCCTGGGATAGAAATGAAGACAAGCAGCTGTCAGTGGACAGATGAGTTCCCAACCAAATCCAATATTCCAAACACCTACCAGTTAGCAGTTTTTACACTGAGGAATCAAAAAGTCATTCAAATCGATTGCATATTTCCTCTCCCATATCTGCGTTCCAATGACCCTGAATGGCATAACACTTCTTTACTTGTCTGGCTTTTTAAGAACCTTAGCTTTACTTTCAAATTTTGGTAGAGGAATTTGCATGATCACGGCAAGAATGAGCTACAGCACCAGGGATTCTGATTATTTCTAATGATCTGCATGGCCACAGACATCTCCCTGAGGACATTCTGATATCTTGGCACATCAGATGGGATTTCTGCCGCTGGTTCCCCTAACACCATCAACTGCCCAGGTCTGTCTAGAAATCATTAGTGGCTTCCCAACCACCCAAAACCTGTGCACACATGTGCAGGTTCACATGTGTACACATGTAATGCATATACACCCATGAATATGTGTAGGTGTGCAGCTGTTATTCTTCTGTAAATACAGATAATCACAGTACTCCACTTCCAATTGCTCCCTTCCAGAATAGCTCAGCTTCCGCCCCCCAGCCCCCAACCACAAGGGGGCCCCAGTGAGAAAAGATGGCCAGCTGTTTTATGACCACAAGATTTAATTACCATCTCTTAGTGGCTGTGACAGAAGTACAGAGTGAGCTACTGAGTGTCAATGTAAGGGTTATCTGCCAGACTCAATGACCTTGGTTGCAGTCCCGCACCTTGGTATGGCTAAGTCTCTCTCGCTTTTCAGAAAGCATGTCTGTAAGGATGGACATTTATTTTAACACTACTCTGAAGTAAAAAGAATTGGAAAGGCAACTCTTCCTTGACCTCCAATCCTATCACAACACACAGAAAGCATTTCCAAATCAAGCACTAATGATTTTTATATTAAATTGTGTTCTGAGTTAGCTACACCATTGCTCATTTCTGTTAGGCCAAATCCAGATAACTGAGTGGAGAATGTTAAAAAGGAAAATACTCTACATTAACTGAAAAACAAACTTGTCTTCTCATACTCCCTTCAATATTATCAGGTGTATTGTCCGTTCGTGCCCCACAACCTCTCTGCTCAGATATAATCAGCCTAAACTGATGGAGGCTACAGAGTCAAATCTCTGCTCTGCTGTGTTAGCGAGCCCCTTTGAGAGGCAAACATAATTTCACCCAGTGATAATACAGGATAGATGTCATGTACTTTCCTGTGTCTGTGTGAGAAGCGACTGTGCTCCTATTCCGGCTCTCTGGATCAGGTGGGTGTCCTTGAATTTCACACACACATATCCTACTTTGCAGTATACCCATGTCTCACAGAAGACATCTGCCTCCAGCTATCTGTAATTACTTTTACCTGTTCCAAAGATATTTATGGATGCAAGCAAGATAAATATTCACTTTCTGCCCCTGCTCGGTGGTTTTTCGCAGGATAACACTACCAGACCACTAGAGGGGAGGGACGTTATGTTGTCTATAAGGCTACCTTCTTTTTCAAGTCCAGCCACTGCACTGTAGGTCCTTTCAGAGGGGGCTGTTGAAAAGATGTTCAAAACAAAGTGAACGACACTCATATGGAAGAATGCCAATTACTCCTTAAGCTTTGGAAGGACCCTCAGGGCCCAGCATAGCCAGTCCACAAGGCTGGCCCCACTAACACGCCCAAACATCTGGTGATCTAGTGGTTTCAGAGTAAGTAGGAGCCTTGCTAGAATGTTGCCCCTGGGATGCATGCTATAGGACTGCCTTATAACAAAGTCCTTTTGGTTCTATAATAACTGAATTCCTTGGATGGAATCCAAGATGGACCTGGTTTATACCAAATCAAACTCTGCAGCATGCAATGCTATAACAAACTTTCAATATACATTATATTCATTACGAATTTCAGAAACCAAACAATAATGGGTGATAACTGTTTACGTGGTAAATGGTAGCTTCTGTGGCCACAAGCAACTCTGGGATAGTAGGTAGTATGTTTCTGATACAATCCTCTGATCTAAACATCTTTAAATAAGAAGGCAACCTAGTGTTGTTAACCACAGGCCGAAAAAGGGAGGAGCTAGCCAGGTTACCTATAAGGGGTAAGATTATTGAGAGGAGGAGGAGTATCACAGGTGTTGTATGTTTCCAAGACAGGTACAGGGAGAGAGTTCCTGTCAAAAAGCTTCTGGTCTTGAATGGTAGAGCTTCTGAAGGCCTTTCGGGTGTTGATTCCTTGTAGTGACACTGAAAGAAGATGGAAGGCATTAGAAAATGGACGACAGGCTATTTGAACAAACACTGAGTCACACCAGTCGGAGAGGCCTCAGCTGCCGCATTTTCTTGGCTGCGGCTGTCTGCAGCCAGGTTTTTTTTCCTCCCCCTCTGGGGAAGCCCCACAAGGCTGTCAGCAGCCCAGCCATTTCATGACTGAACAAAATGAGGCAACACAAAGGTTTACTATGTGGCCAGATCTAGCAGGCCTCTCCTTAGGAGGAATGAATCTTCCAAGTACTTTTATGGTAGCAAAATACGATCCTGGGGAAGGGGAATTTGGGAAAGAGGGAATGGGGGAAATGGGAGAAAGGGAGTGTGTGGAGGTGTGGTAGAGATAAAAAGGTTTCTTTACACCACCCAGGCTTGTGTCATTTCAAAGCAGAATTCCATAGGTCTCTGTAATTTCTCCCCTCATTTTTTATAAATCAGGGGAAAAAAAAAACTCTAAGCAACTGCTCAGCAGAGCCTGCAAATGCTGAGCTCAGCTTCCTTACCTTCTTCTTCCTTGGGATCCAGCTGAGTGACTTTAACTTGTAGGCGGTCGACCCTCTCAGCAAGGGAGCTTACCCGAGAGGCAAAAGTATTTGCCTGGGTAAAGAGCTCTCCAAAAATGTCCTCAGCATATTTACCTGAGAGAGCAAAGAAACCAAGTCACTACTGCATAAAAGTGACATAAATGGTCAGAAAAACTGGCCACTAAAGACTGTACTCCCCGTCTCCCAAATACATACATCTGCCCTCTAAGATGGTTCAGGCTACATGCAGAGCCTGCTCTTAGAGACAGAGACGTACCCTCCAGAGCTTGGGCAGTCTGCACGTGTTTTAAAACTAATAGAGTCTTTTTGGCAAACTGAACTGTCACAAAACTCAAAGCAGGATGAATAAAATCAAAAGGTGTATTAGAAAAAAACTAATCCTGGAAGAGTGTACAGTATTTCTACACATTTGCCTACAGCCCTTAGTTTTGCTGATTTGTAAAATGTAAAAGCACTTTGTAAAAATGGTTCTGGAAAGTAGACTGGGAGTTAGAAGGATCTTCTAGATGTCTACAATTAACATGAAAAGTCAGAAATTACATCCTCAGTGGAGCCCCAAAAGTACATGATGAGATGTGATATCTTCAAGGGGCCTTGAACTTACTAACAACTCATAATAGACTCAGAACTTCTTCTAAGAGTTGAAAAGGTTATTTTATATTTTATAACCTAGAACTTTGGAAGTCTTTGTTTTAGGTTATAATCCTTCAAATTTACATCTCAGGGAACAAGTGAAAAGCTGAAACATTGAAGCTCTCCCTGAAAAACAACATACCAGTGGTCTCTTTCCACAATATCTTGTTTTTTAGAAAAAGAAAAGTGTTCTGTACTTTCAACCCTGGAATGGAAGGAGAATTTGCAGCCAAAGAAACATAACAGCAATCTGACACTACCTCCATATTGTCATTCCAAGCCACAAAGCACATTCTTGCTAGGAATGAAAAGCAGTGCATACGAATAATGTAGCATCTGAGTTTCTTACTTGCAAGGTGAAGGCAGGCATAAGTGACTGTGCCCAACCAAAAGATCATTTCTTTGAGAACTATTTAAAGTAGGCTCTGATTTTTAGCTTCTAAACTACATCTATGCTTAGTCTACCCTTGAGGAGAAAAAATTAGGCCAAAAGGCCAAAACTGCACCTTCAGGGTGAAGTGCAGCTCACTCACCTTCCCAGAGTAACCTGGAGGGTAAGGGTAAGACCAATCAACGGCATATTTTAAATTGCTGGTAAATTTAGTCAATAAAGAGTTTTTAATCAAGGAAGAAGCAACTCTTTGCATACCAAATGGTTTTGTGATCTAAACCATAGGAAGCTCCTGAGACCAAAGGACACAAATTGGCTAATGAGCTGCATTTCTACTCCAGCAGACTGAGGATCCTATCTGATCCCTGTCCATCATATGGCTAAGTTCCTGTAAAAACCACACTGTATGGACTCACACACACAGAGAACAAACTAGTGGTTACCAGTGGGAGAGGGAAGGGGAGAGAGGCAGGATGAGGTAGGGAATTAAGAGGTACAGACTATTATGCATAAAATAAGTAAGCTACAAAGATATATTGTACAGCACAGGAAGAGCCAGTATTTTATAATAACTCTAAATGGAATATAACTATTAAAAATTGTGAACCACTAAGTTGTATACCTGACACTTACATAATATTATAAATCAACTACATCTCAATTAAAAAGAACAAAGCAAAGAAATCATACTGTATCATGCTTGTCTAGGTAACAAAAACTTGTGATTGGAAGGCTAAAGTAGAGAAACACACAACATTAAGTGTGGAAAATAAACCAGGCTCAAAAGCATCTGTTAACCAACCAACTGTTTTGGAGGAAAAGAAAACCCCAAATTAACTTACCCTTAGGTCACCAAGAGAGTACCTAGGATTTCCTGCTCCCCAGTGAAGGGAGCAGTGACAGTGGGAGTAGAGCTTAGTGTGGCACAGTGGTTTTCAAGATAAAATCATACAAAGAACCCCAACATATAAAAATGGCAACACTGAGAACACTATTTGAAGAGGGAGTGAGGTGGTATGTCACATCATGTCAGGCCCTAGGCATGCTTAGAACTATAAGATGATACGTGGAAGAAGACTTCAAGTCAGAAAGTCTGGATTTAAGTCTTAGTTCTTTCTGTTTCTACCTGTGTACTCTTCAGCAAGTCTTGCTCTCAGTCTCAGTTTCCTCAACTGTAAAATGAGGACAACTATACCTTTCTCACCAAGTTGTCATAGGATTAAATGAGCCAAAAATGTAAACTGTTAAAAAAAGATTCTTCCTTATATTGGTCAACCACATCAGATGACTTTTTTAAGAGTGTGATCATTCAAGTATCTTAAGTTTTATGCTTAGATGAAATTATAAATATAATTCCTGTCAGTAATGTGACAGCCCTGTTCTTTAAGTAGGAAAAATTACTCCAATCTCTGAAAACAGAAGTGTGATACTTACACAGGAGAAAATCAAAGTGCCTTGTTCAGAGTTAAACTTCACTCATTCAGATTACCAAGACACTATCACATCAGGACATTCATAACAGATATCTATCCCATTTTACAAAAGATTCCAGCAGCAGTCTTCAATTTTTTTTTCCTTAGCATAACTTTTCAAATGAAATCTTATGTGAAACAAGTAAAACTGATTTTTAAAAATATGAAGCTGCTCTTGTTTGAGTTTGAGTGGGAGTCTTGGAGCTCCCCCAATGGCATGGCCTCACTGCACTCAGAAAAGCCAATACCACAGCATACCTTCTTAATGACCCAAGAGGGGGTTCCATTCTCCTGGGTGGTCAGGATCCTGATTCAGAAGTGCTGGCTGGCTGGCTGTGCCCATATTTCCTAAGATATGGCAACCTAATATGTGAAATGCCAATCTCACTGCACTGAGGGAAAATAAGAATTCTGGATATGCTACCAGGGAGCAATCTATGGCTGTGGAATTTTTTATTTTTGTACTTTACCCATTCCATAATCAGACTTTCTCTACTAGACCAAGCATTTCTGGCTATAGTATAATATATGAGGCCAATGTCATGAGCTTGAAGCACATATGACCCCATTTCTGCACCCTTCTCTGCTAAATGAAAATCTCAGTCAACTTTCAAGGCTCAGTTCAAATGTAACCTCTTCCATGAAGACTTCCTTGACTCTTCCTATTCCCCGTGTGCTCCTACTCCCCATAGGAAGTATTTCTCCCCTCCCTATATTCTCAGTGCACCAACTGCATGGAATGGTGGAGAGACTACATGCATGACTCATTTGACAAACATTTACTGAGCTTCTACTGAGTGCCGGGTACCACACAAGATAGACACTGGGATTCAAGGACAAACACATGATTTCTGCCTTCAAAGAACTTTTAATTTGGTATAGGAGATAAAGATAGTTTTCAATATAATGTGATAGGTAATAATACAGGCATGAAATAGGAGCTCAGAGGGGTGCTTAGTCCAACCTGGAGGAGGAGATCCCTGAGCCTTGAAGTTCAGCTACCAGGATGGTAAGGACTCTCCACACAGTGTGAAAAACCAAGGCACTGGGAGGAAGTAGGAGAGAGTATGGTCTGTCTCAGAAGCTATAAGTAGTTGGTAATCCATTCTTTCTTCTTTCCCTTTTCATCCCCTCTTTTTTCCCTTTTTCATTTTAAAAGAATCTTAAAAAGATTATAAAATGGGAAAAGATGGATTGCAGAAAATGAGGCTGAAAAGAAAGGCAGGTCTTAAAAAGTCTTGAATGCCAGGCCAAGTAGGAAGAGGGGAGATAAATTCATAGTTAACATTTATATTCTTACTTTAAAAACACTTTTTAAATTGTAAAAGTTAAAAAAAAATAAAACAAGACACTGCTTAAGAAAAAAAAATAAACTGCAAAAGTTAACATAGGCTTAACTTTTAAAAATTCAAACAATTCAAAATTGAAAAATGTAAAAAGTGGTATTTTAGTTTTGGGCAGACTACTCTGGCAAGAGTCTAAGTGTAAGATTTATAAGATTTTATAAGAGTTTTAAATTTGCAGATTTAAGTGAGATGACCAGAGAAGGGGGAGGCTAGAACAAAAGTTTAGGTGAGAGTTAAAGAAGGTCTAAACCAGGGCAGCATTGGCAGAGACAGAGACAGAAGATAGGACTGATACATTCTTATGAAGTCTGACTTTGTTTCTTACTAACTGTTCCTTCTGCAGGCAAATTATCTTAATTTTCTGAGCCTTCATTTCTTCACCTGAAAAATGGGAACACCAACACCTAATCTCATAGGATTATTGAGAGGATTAAGTAAAATAATCTATGTCAAGATCCTATTAAACCTGGCATAAAGTAGGCAATCAACAAATGTTGAGTTCCCTTCTCACCCTCTCCCCATTCTCCCCTTGAGAAATATTTCTTTCTTTCTCCTTTGGTAGATTATGAGCTCCTGGAAGGCAGAGACCATTTCTTATTATTGCTCTATCCCCTCAGCATCTGGCACATAAAATATGTTCAATACACATTTATTGGATGAATAAAGGGTCAGCTAAGCTCTACAGCATGAGGAAATCTTGTTTCCATAGGCACAAGCTGGCCCTGGCCCTCAGATCAGCTTTCTCAAGATAGGAGTGGTCTGATCACAAGTGGGAGAGTGAGCAATGGCATCCATCAACACTACCCTGGAAAAACACCTGAGAGAGAGCATAACTCCTGCTGAGTGAGAATAAGAAGCATCATTAGCTAGATGTCCTTTGTCCTATGGAGAAGGAACCAGTGTGTGATTGACTTCCACCCATTTGGCCTTCTCAGGGTGACAGAGGCAGAAATGATGCTTTTAAGAAGCAGTGAGGCTCTCTGCAGCCTTCATGTGCTTCCTTGTCAGCTGTACTGCTGCTGCACCGCTGTCAACGTTCCTTTGTGTAAGACAGACACTTGCAGGGTTTCATTTCTTTCATGACGCCCCATCCAGGTTTCCCTAAGCCCTGGATCAACTGAGATGGCCTCTGGGCTAGGTGAAGGCTTAGGAATCTCAGACCCCATACATCAACTGGTCACACAGCTGTCTCCTCAAGCCCCTATTTTAAAAGCAGGGTCTATTACTATCTGGGGGGAGATGTAGGCTTTCTTGATATTGCACTGCCTTCACTAAGGGGAGTGACGCAATAGGAGGGGTGAATGTTTGAAATAATTTACACCAAGATGCTTTTGCTAAGGAATATCACTCACATGGCATTCTGAGAGATTCTGGAGAGCTGGGGTGGCACTAGACAAACGCAGAGCCTATCCAAGCATCTGCCCTTCCCATACCTTGGCTCCAAGCAAAGTCAGCTTAATTCAGAATGAAATCCAAACCCATGCATGTACCTACCCCACCTGAGGCAGCCTTATTCATACTTGCCAATTAAAAAAAAATTATAGTTGAGCTGGCTTTCCCTCAGCTCCAAACAGACTGGGCTAACCCCCATTCTCCTCCTTAAGAAGAATGGCTCCAGTTACAATTTGTGTCACTGTGTTCACATAGCTTGCAAAACTCCCCAATACCCCAGAGACTACAGAAGCAATTTGTACCCTGAACTTGGACCTGGGGGCTTGCAGCACAATTAAATGTGTACCAGGGTAGACAAGTCAGCCAGAATCTCTCTGAGTGCATGTTTGCTTTACTCCTCTTTGGAAAGAAAAGGGGGTGTCGGGTAGATACAGACTATTGGAACATTTGTGGCTTCAACAAAGGCTACATTGAACAGCTCATGCAATTACAGGCACATTCCCCAACCCAAGATACTGCTCTGTGAACCTCCCACTTTACACACAGAGAATTCTGCTCTGTCATTCCATCTGCAGTTTCTGCTGCAGCCCTTCCGGCCACCCTTTCCACAGATTTCTTTTGAAGCAGGTGGAGGGGGAGGGGGAGGGAACCTAGAGGGTGGCGGTAGATGAAGAAAGGGTTGAGGGGAAGACTCTGTACAAAGGAGTCTCTCTTGGGGGGTGGGGGGGATACATTTTCACATTACCTAGGGAAGGCAGATGGGGGAGAAATAGGAAAACGGGAGGAGAAGGAAACTAAATAAAGAGCACCAACGACCCCTGAGGGCAAAGCACAGGCTCTCTGCGGCACTCACTCAGGCTGCCCAGCTGTCGGATGACATTTGCCAGTGTGATGTTGGTCATGCATTCCAGCTCGCTTCTAACGCTAGGCAACGTCTGACGGCACAGGTGCCTTGGCTCGATGTTCCTCGTTACTAACGGCATGGTGGACCTGCTTCAGGCAATGTTCTGAATGATGAAAAACAACCTAAAAAAGAAATAACAGGAAAGTATTACTCAACCGCAAATTCCAGGCACACTATGGCTGTGTGAGTCCTTTTTTTTGTCTTGCTCTGATCTAAAAAAACACTTCTATCTTTTTTTCTTTTTGAAGCCCTTCCCATCCCCCCTTTCTAAGGTTTGCTATTGGAGGTTTGCTGGGTAAGTTTAGAAATTCTGAACTGGTGACTGCTGGCTAAGGTATCCAGACAGCATAAAAACCTAAAAAACCTTAAAATAACAACTATGCTCCAACCAACAAGAGTCTCCAGAGGCAAGGATGCATGGTCAGAAAACAGTCCATTCAGCAGATCCTGGATGGTACAGATTCAATCCTTGCGGTGTCCATAACCAGGACAAATCAGATTCTAGATGATCAATTGTAAGAATCAAAAAAGAGCTTCTGTCATCTGATAATCTCCACAATCAAAATAAGTTGCCAACAGTGATTCCACTGATCTACACTGGGATATAACTTGTCCAGTTCTTCCCTGATAGAGGACTGTCAATGTACAACTAAATACTGCCAGTATCTATTAACACTACTAAAGTTTAGTCTGTAAATGGACAGAATGAAAGAGTATCAAGGAAACTTTTACACGTTCAATAGATCAAACACGATGACAAGCAAACTGTGCTATAAGATTCCCTAGTCCTTTCTCTTCTACCCACAGCTCCCTTTCTCTCTCCCATCCGGTTCAACACACCTGGGCCAAAAGGCTCTTGAGACAGCAGGAAGTGTCTGGAGCAGATCCGGAAACCTTCCAGTTACTGTTTCTTATCCTGTCGGCTGAGCCCCTTTCCCTAGGAAATCCCCCAGCACTTTAGGTTCATGCTGAGCTATTGTTTTAGAGTTAGATTACCAAATTCCTAGCTTTACAAGGATAGGAGGTTTTTTATCCAACAAAATGGATATGACTACAGCCAAGGCACACTGGGCTGGAACAGTTTCCCTATCTTGTGAAACTAAAGAAATCTAAAAAAGCCTAATGGGCTTCATGCTAGGGAAAATGGTGAATTCAAAAGAAAAGGTAAAGCATAAAGGTAACATACCCAAGTTCCCAAGACTACAAACTCCTGTTAAAAATAAACAACCCCCCCAGAGGTTTACCTACAGCATATGTTAAAACAGTTTATCAGTTCATCACTAGAAAGTTAATTGTGAATATGAAGTGCTTAAACCAAGCTAAACATCATAGATCTTAAAAGTGAACCAACATATTGTCTGACCGAAGGGAAAAAAAAAAAGCACTTCAAGCTCAAAGAGGGAGTAGAACCCTTGGAACAGACTGCTCCTTGTTATGGACATTCTGATCTGCTAAGAGTAAAAATAAAACAGGAAGCCAGCAGCTTGGGGAACAAGATTTCCTGTCACCAACAGCAACAGCCCAAGAACCAAGAGAATCAGCTGTTTGCTCATAATTTTGAACCTCCCTTTAATAGTCACTGTGGCAGCTGTGCCTATCTTTGGGGTGCAGAGGTGTTTCCTGAATATTTGTCTACTGTCTAAGGAAATAATTTTCATTCCGCTCCTCTGCTAAGTTCCCCTTTGACTCAACAGGTTTTCTAATCCAAACTCTGGCCTTTCCCTTCCAGTCTAACTCGTCTCCTCCTTTACATAATGTAAAGGGTATTGGGTATTAAGATGCAATCTTTAGCAATACTGAAAAGAGAGTTTAGAACAGGAAAGGAGGCAAAGGGTTACAAATAAAAGAACTTCACAGAGCTCTGCATCCTCTGAATGCCCTTAGACTCCCAAATTTCAAGCTTTCTGGAAGAATCAGAAATTCAGGAGTATAGCCAGATGGCTGAAAATATGGCTTCCTCCATTAGCAATCATTTCAGTACTTGTTCTAGCTTCTCAGAGGAGCTAAAGGAGCCAGATCCCTTGAAAGTGGCCACTGACAAGGCATTTCAGACATTATCTTTGGATACCTAATGGAAACTGGATTCCAGATGGCTAGGTAAAAGTCAGATTCGGGGTGGGGCTGAGGAAGCAATGCTTAACACCTTGGTACTTTGGCATTTATGCTTTCCCAAGTGCCTTGGGTAAGCAGACACAAATGAAGTCAATTCTATGTCATCTGGGTGGGGTTTACCTGGAATCAAGTTTTCAATAGCAGGATAGCAACCTCTTGCCAAAAAGACTCCCAAAACTAGCTAGAGTTTTAAGTCAAGAAATTACAATATGTCAACATCCTTCAAGACAAAACAATCAGAAAAGTGAATCTGCTACTAAAAATAAAAAAGTCATTTAATATGTTTCAGAGCCACTAAAGAAAGACAAGATTCCCTATCCTATGGAATTACCTGTATCACTGCTCATTTTTCCTTCGGATAATCAAGGTTAGTTGTATTCTGCCAAAGAAGTATGGAATTACACATGATCTGAACCACAACAGTAATTTGATGACCAAGAGAAAAAAAAAAATCCTACATTCCCGTGAAGATAAACTTAGAAATGGGCAAAGACTCCCAAGGTTCCTGACTCAACTCAGCTTCAAGTTGTGGAGCTGAGACATACTTGGGTTAGTGCCCTGACTCTTGACCCCTTACTAGCTATGTGATCTTGGGCAATTTTCCTAGAGACATAAAACAATGTAACATATATAAAATGTCCAGTACAGGGCTAAGAAAAAAGGTAGGTATTTGAAGTTTCACAGACCTTAGGCAAATCTTCCTATAAAATCAATTTTATTCATTGATAAATATTTTAGAACATTTTTAACCATGGACATATTATGTAGTAGAATGCAACAGTCACATAAATTTAAAGATAAAACCCTAGTCTTTAACACAAATGTGTACGTTCTCAGCAGCACTATTTACAATAGCCAAGACATGGAAACAGCCTAAATGTCCATCAACAGATGATTAGATGAAGAAGATGTGGTATACAATGGAATACTATTCAGCCATAAAAACCGACGTGACACCATTTGCAGCAACATGGATGCTCCTAGAGAATGTCATTCTAAGTGAAGTAAGCCAGAAATAGAAAGAAAAATACCATATGAAATCACTCGTATGTGGAATCTAAAATAAAAAACAAACAAAACATAAATACAAAACAGAAACAGACTCATAGACATAGAATACAAACTTGTGGTTGCCAAGGGGGCAGGGGGTGCGAAGGGATAGACTGGGATTTCAAAATGTAGAACAGATAAACAAGATTATACTGTATAGCACAGGGAAATATATACAAGATCTTATGGTA